GCTATGGCAAGATTTAGAGCTTAATTTTCCAACCTTCTGCAGTCCAAAAAAAAGGCAATGGCATTCTAGGACAAGGATACCATGTTAACCTATAGGGGAGCTGAGAAACTGTTTCAGAACTACTAAGATGAGACAGTGATTCTTAAAATAGAAAAAAAAAAGTGGTAGATAAAGTAAAGCTCTTAACTACAGTACCAGGCTGACATATGCTCTCTGTGCTTTTGCCTAAAAAAATATACAGTTAATTCTTCAAATATGAACCAGTGTTTGTAAGAGATGCTTTTCCTTGCTTCTCAATAGTGTTGCAGCATTCAAATTTGTTCCCTAGTGCTCTTAAGGATGCTCCTGAGCTGAAAACAATGGGAAGTCCAAAGTGTTAGGGAATAATAAAACACTGTTTGTATTCTTCCCTGAGCATCTGTTTTTGGCTGGTTTTAAACAAATCATTGGGCTTGTCTGACCCTTTTGACTGTATTAGGATTAAACTATCTTTCAGACTCTTTAGGGTGCTTGTAACTTTAGCAGACCAACCATGTTGGCCGAGTTTCCATATTGAGTGTGTTAAACTATATTACATTCACCTCCATCAGAACGGCTCCTGTCTTTTTTCTCAAAGTAGACTTGGATTTTTTATCCTTTAAATGTTTCTGAAGCCTATGAAAATATGCAGTACATTTAACAGCATTTGACACTGTTTTGTGTCTGAAAGGTACATCTTAATGCCTTAATGATCTTTTCTATACTCTGATCAGTGTAAATCTTCTGAAATTATTTGTGTGTTCTTGTGCTAGTAGAGTTTGGGAGCCGAATCCTTTGTCTTGCACACACCTGTCTTCCGAGCAGTACACCTGAGCAACGTGGTATTCTTTGCAGCAGAGTCACACATGCTCAGCGCTCTTTTGGGAGTGAGGGGTTGATCCCTTTTCTCTAGGATATTGCTTCTTTTAACTGCTAGCTTGGCTGTAAAGAAGGGCAGACTTGGTGATCTCCAACAGGTAATTCAAGCATCAAGTTGGACACAGCTGCTGGAGTAGTGGGAGTGATGAGAGGGGAGAAAATGGCAGTGGGGAAGACAGGAATAGATGGGATTAGGCTGGGAACAGAGAACTTAGTCATCTGATAACAAATAATTATTGTGAAATTGGAATGGTATATTTTCAACGGTCTTTCCTTCAAGTTAGGGATGGCTTTGTTTTGAAGTCTAAAGAATCCAGCTGAGGGGGCTTGCTCTAGCTAATTTAAACTTTATTCTTGCTTTTGTATGTAAATTCTTTTGGTAAGGTATAATGTCCTTCAGTTAAAAAAGATGGAAAACAATGAGATTTTATATAATCTTATACCATTTTCTAACTCTCTAGTGCTTAATATGAAAAAAATAACAAGATTAATAGCTTGGGGCTGTAATTTGTATTGCTCTGAGCTGTTGCCATTTTGGTCTTCTGGAATAAATGGCTACTGTTTCATGAGTGTTTTTGACTTGAGAACACTAAAGAGGCCAAAACTTCAGCATCTTTAGAAATTTTGTTTGTCTGCAAGCTTAGCATTTATAGTGAGCAAGTCCCATAATGCCACCTGCCCTGTAATAATCTTTTTGGTTAACCATATTATTGTTACATGTATTGATAGGTGCTTATTGCAAGCAGGCTGGCTAACAGTTTCTCCTCCTCTCTACACTCAAAGGTCATTGCTATTCCTGGACTTGGAAGTGAGGTGAAACTTGGCTGGTAACACTTAATGGAAGAATTTTTCTTTTGTTTCCTCTTAGCTGAACTTTGCAGCTTCACTTCTTCACTTGGCAGCATTATGGTATCTTTACCTTAGTCTAAGATAAACTTAGCTTTATAACTAGAAGAGCAGATTTCACTGCAGTACTCTACCTTTTTTGAACAAGAGCTATCAACACTAAGTCTTAGTCAGAGACATAGGAAAGGCAGTGATTGCTAGCAAGTAATACAACTCAAATCTTATTACTTTCTCTGCATCTGGGGATACAGGACACAGACTTCTTTGCATAGGCCATACTTTTGCTGGTTTTCTTCCGAGCCTAATGGGGTTATGGTGTAAAATTTGGTGTGCGTAAGCCAGAAAAAAAATACAGGTGTGTGAGATTCTGCAGTCTTTTCCAGTAGACTATTGTAATCTGCTTGACTGTGAGCCTCCTCAGAAAAGACTGGATGTCCAGACAGTCTAGATCACATTTCTCCTAGTTTGATTATCTTCTAAAGGTGAATTGCTGCATTTTTGCTGCTGATTTTTGCACCTTTCTTGGCATGTGAGTACAGTGTTAACCAAGCACAGCTTTTTGGTGTCTTCACAGTTAAATGACATTTATATTTTCAGCCTCATCATTTAGGTACTGGAGAATGTATCTTCTAGCCGCTTACAGATGAAAACACCTCCAAACTACATAGAATGCAAAACAACATACAAAACAACAAAAACATGGAAGACTGCTTGATGCTATGGCTGAAAACATCTGTGGAATGCTTTTCAGCCTTAATACACAATCCTGCAACTCCCAGCTATCAGGTCTTGTTGTTTGTTGAATCTGATTAACACCAAGTATGGCTCTGATAGCATTACCCCAGGATGGATGCTTCATGACCATGTGGCTTCATGTGTTAATGGGTAAAAAAATTATGCATCTGAGGATCTCAGAGATACTACTTAGTGTGATGCCTTGGATTCAGACTGTGAAAGCAGTAGGATCATAGGAGAATAAAGCATAGAAAGAAAGATGTTTGAGAAAATGCTTCAGTTACAGGGTTAGTGGCTGTTTGTTTGGGTAGTTGCTAAAATGAATTCCCAGGCTGTAATGTTTGGGAGTTTATTGTATATATAGCTGTAAAGCCTATCTACAAGAGTTAATGTATTTTAATGTTGTTTACTTGCTAGATGTATTTGTTTCTGCTTTTTAAAAGGGTAATTTAAAGCTAATATATGTACAAGCCCAGCTTAATAGTCTATTGATCAGATTAGCAATAGTCAATTACTGTATATAAAGGCATAAAAAAATCCTGGCTTTACACTGCACTGCCAGAATGAGCAACCTTAGTAGTAATTAAGAGTTTTATGCTTAGCCTTAACTAAGCAATGAATGCTGATTTTAAATTGTTCTACCTTGATGGGAATGATTTAATGATAATCATCCTTTTGTTCATTATTGTTGCTAGCTTTCACATGACTGGATTGAGTGCTAGCTTCAGCAGCAGAAAAAGATGTTTAATGCTTGTATCTGGAACTCAGAAGTGAATTCATAACTTGATTTTTACAACTGCTCTAAGCACTGCTTAAAGTGGTTCTTTGTAGTGATATAGGTGCTCCACCCAAGTGTTCAAAAATATTTTCTAAAATTACTTTTAGTAGTGCTGTGTAAGGTCTGAATCTCCTGGTAGTGTCAAAGAATCCTAAAATACCAAAACCTTTGGCTGTAAAGATTGAGATGCACTTGTGTCTAAATTTTTTGCTTTTGCTGACTATTTTTAGGTTTTTAGACAGCTGAATGTTTGAGTTGACTGAAAACATGAACATTTCAATCAGATGCTAACAATGTTTCTGTACTAAAAGATGTCTCTGCTGTATTCTTTACTTAGCATAGGAAAAAACCTTGGGGAAATTAGTCTTACCATAAAGGAGTCTCCACTGTACTAATCTTGACTGCACATGAGAGAAACATTGCAAGACAGTATTTGTCTGATAAGGCTCTTCCAGGTGCACTTCAGTATGCACACATATTGTTGCATTCACAAAGTATGCAGTCATCTGAATTACACTCCCAGTTCCTGTAGGTGAACCTACAACCTATTTCCATGAGTGCCAAAGGGGCATAGTATAAGTGGTAATAATTTCCCTGTTGCTGTCATCAGAGAGCCATTTTCCTACTTAACCCAACCGGGGGTAAGTTTGAAGTCCATAAAGGTGAGGGCTGGGGCTGTCACTTCAGATGTCTGGCACCAGTTAAAACTATAACCTTTAGACTTGAGGTTCTTGTTCTAGTCTTATGATTGCTTTTCAAGATTTGAGCACTGACCCTGCCCTTTTACTCCCCACAGTTGTCCTTTGACTTCAGGGTAGGGTTTATGTAAGTATTGCCTAGTATAGGAAGCCTTTTACTACACAGATAACTGAGCATGTCTTAGTAACTGGGACATGTCTCAAATATAAGTTAAACTGCCTATTGCCAAGTGCTCTTGAATCAAGGCCTTATTTTCATAAACTTCTACTGCAAAATTGCTCTGAATACAAGGTATCATAGCTGGACAGGTAGACAACATCTCTGCTCTGAATATTATGAAGGACAGGCCCTATAGACAGGGGATTTTGAGTTGGTGTATATCCATGACAGAACCAGCTGAGAGTCAAATTAAGTGAAATTAAGGTGTCTTGGGAAAAAATGTTAAATTTAGAAATCAAATTCAATGTGTTGTTATTTTTCCTCTTACGTAAACGTTTAAAAGAAACCAAATTGGACAAGGGCCAATGAAGTACTCTCCCTGCATTTTAGTTATGCAATAGTGTAAGCATGTCATGCTAACATAACACTCTGATAACTAAAAAGAAGAATGTTTCTGACTAAAAATTAGAAATATTTTCAAAAGTCTTATTTTTAGCCAGAAGATGCCATTCCAAAAGACTAGTTTAACTTCTGTGATGAAAATGTCTTGATTTTCACGCTTTGCCATCTATACAATTTGAAGCCTTAGTTCTGGAAAATACCGTTATTAGATTTTTGTTGTACGCCTTCACTCCTGTGCACATTATTCTGTATTTTCCACATTGTGTCTAAGCATCCAATGAAAGCATTTGTACAAAGAGATTGCAATGACATTGTCTTGACTTAGTTTTATAAAAAAGATTGGATGTTAACTGTTGTTCTCTTTTTCCAACTCCTACTTGCCTATTTTGTTTCTGAAGTCTAGAATCCATCTGGCTTGGTGAATAAGTGCATTGATGAAAAAGCAGATAGTAGTGAGATTCCTGACTTGTGAGCTGTATTTTAAAAGTCACTTGCAATTATTTATAGGTGCTGTTGGTAAGCAGTAGCCGATATCCAGATCAGTGGATTGTACCGGGTGGAGGAATGGAACCAGAAGAAGAGCCAGGGGGAGCAGCTGTGAGAGAGGTGTATGAAGAGGTAACTAAACAAAGTAAAAAATACAGTTGATCTTTGCTGCTGTTGCCTTCAGATGGGAACCAAGAAGGAAGAGGGGAATGCCTCCTTTACCCACTATTTGACTGAGACCTTTGTGGTTATGGAATTCAAAGAACTGCAGTTCTGTGTGTTAGAACTGGGGTGTAGTGTGGTAAGGTGAACTAATTAACTTAGCTTCTTCACAGCACTCTTTCATTTCATAGCTAGTTTCTGTCTGCCTTTACAAACAAGTACTGGAAGTAAAACTGTGACTTTATGCCAAATGACATATTATAGTAGTGTAACATTGCTGTGTTTGTGAAGAAAATGTTTGACTTGCAGCTCTTCTAGAACAGAGTGAAGGTAAACTAACCATTAACATGTAACTGCATAAGAACAAGAAATCAACAGACCTTTGAGGGCATTCCAAACTAAACAGATTAGAAACTGATCTAGCTGAGCTGTTGAGAATTCATACATTTAAGGCTGCTTATCTATAAAAAAAGCACTATGGTTATAGTTTGCCTTTCTATCTCTGCCCTATGACTAGGCAAAACAGAGCTTTAAGTCATGATGAATTCATGCAGTTTTCCTATACTACAATACTTAAATTCTAAGTTCAGAATTATGGGGTTTCATTTGCCATTTATTTTTCCTAGGGAAATTGTCAAAAATGTTAAGTGTTTCTTTAATATCTAACAGCCATGTCTAAACCAAATAAAACTGCAAGAAAAATCAAAATATAATACTTTCAAGTACAAGGTCTAAGATTCTTTGTAAATTGGATGCATTCTGGTGAGTGAGTGAAGTATGCTTACCCTTAAGACTGGTTCTGTTGTGGTGTTGAGGCTTAAGAACTTAATGTAGATGTGACTTGCACCGAACAGTGTCTGCTATTCAGTGTCAAAATGAAATCTTCTGTGAACTGTGATTCAGTGACCCTTCTCCCATTTTACTTGGGGAACAGGCTAGTTCACTGTTCACTGCCCTCAGGAGCCATCCTGCAGCAAGGTTTGAGAATGAATAAGCCTCCCTGAATCAAAGGTGTTCCAGACTGAGTTCAGTTTTGCTGGAGGAGCCCATTTTGACCTACACAAGATGTACTCAGCCACAGGGTACAGTCCATTTGAAAGGAGCAAAGAGTTTGGGTTCTAGCAATGAGTCAGCAAAGATTTAGGCTTCCAAGCAGTAGTAACACCTCTAGGGAAAGTCTTGTCTTCCCACTGTCACGAATTCATGGGTAGGACTAAAAAGCACAGTCCTCTCCTCAGTGTTCTTAGGAACACTGGTAATTTTAATTGCTGATCTGACTATAGTCCAAGATAAGGGATAGTAAAGTTTCATCTCCATGTTAAATTAGAGCTGACTAAACTGTAGTCATATGTTTGGGTTTTTTTCTTTGGTGGTAAAGAATGGATGATCTTGAAGGGACTATGCTTTTTATGATGTTTTTGAGTATAAAATTCCAGCCATGTTCAGCTTTGAGCTGTGCTTGCAAATGCATGAAGAGTTTTCACAGACATGGGGCTTTAATAAGCAAAACTAATTTGGTTACACTTGTTCTACTCCCTCAGAATTTCTGGGGTATGATAGCTTGTATAGCTGATCAGACTTAAAAGCTCATGTCTTAAAGTAAAATATTCTTCAGCTACCGGCTAAGTCTTATATGCTTGCATGAGATCACCAAGTGCCACTTTTAAAGAAAAGAGTGGTATTTAGGGGTTTGAGCCATGGAAATTCATACTGACCTTTCTAAAGGTAGATGTCCTTTCTATTTTTATCCTAAGGTCACCTGGCAAGCTGGTTACAGTACAGTGAACTGTTAAGAGTTTTGTGAATGAATAAACTTCAAAGAAAGCACAGTGGTGCTGGTTTGAAATGTGTTCCTTCAGTATTGGGTCATGCACAAACTAATAACTTATTAAAATGGGTAAATTAGTGGTGGGAATTACAATGGCCTTCATTAATGGTAGAAGTGTTGCTAGCCCACTGGCTTTAAATATCCTCACTTCTACACCAGTAGTAATGTATTTAGAATCTTTGTTTTACAACTCAAAACATCATGTAATCAGATCTAGGCACATGGCAGTTGTTTCATAGTCTGCCTGTGTACATGCCTCCAGGGTTTTTTTAATTCTTCACTTTTGTTCATGTTAGTGATATGGGTTTTTACCACTACTGTTTCATTTAAGGCTGTCTGACACTTCACAGGTTACAGAAAATTGACAGTTACCTTAATTATTTAGATACAATAAACTTTTACAAACCTGGAAATAGAATACCAAAATGAAGTTGCAGTATAAAGCAGTCCCAGAAGGGTATTGAACCTCATCTAAATGAGGAGCTACTCCATTAATGAATTTGGAGCTTTGTCTTTAATTGCATGAAAGATGAAAATAAGTTGTCTGCACATGCACTGTTCAAAGAAAAATGACACAAACGAGTGGCAAGCCAATGATGCCCAGCCTTGTAAATGGAAATCTTCAGTGAACTTGACTGAACCCCTCCCTTTTCTTGCTCCATCTTACAAAAAAGAGATTCTTGCTTTGTTTGTCTTAGTAGTGTATTGAAAGGTCTGTGAGAAAATATGCAATCTCTCCTAGCCCTGTGTGGCTGTAGTTCCTGAGAAGTGAGGTGATCCTGAAGATGAATTTGTTGCAACTGTGAAAATGGCAGTAATATCAATTAAGACTTCTCTTGGGAAATAGAGGAATTAGCACCAATGGGCATTTAATATTTGAAAAATAATTGGGTGCTACAGGCTAGAATTAGACACTGCAAAAATAAAGTAATAAAGCACACTCTCAGCTGAAAGATTAGGCAGATGTAGTCAAACATTTCATTTTATAGAATTATGCAAAAATATGGGGCAGGAGTAGTCTTGCCACCATCCGTTTCAGGAGTGTAGCCATTAAAATGGCTACAATACTAACTTACTAACTTTGAGTTACAAATAACTCAAATCTCTCAGATCTTCAATAACTTTCTGCCCTAGTAGACTGTTAGCTTAGGAATTAAACTGCAGCATGACTCTTGCTCCATCTACAGGAAACAGGCGAGCCTGGCGCTCATCTGGACTGCAGTACCTCCACAACTGCGAACAGGAATGACCTCCAGGCCAGACTGATTGTGGGATGAAGTGGATAGTTTTCTCTCTTGTGGCTGGATTTAGACTAATGCTAAAATACATGCATAAGATTCAGATCTGAGGTCCTATTTGCATAGTACTCAGACTTCCTTAGAGAATTGTTCTGGGGAAGTGTAGCACTTCATTCAACAGCTTGCTTGTTGGAAGAAAGCTGGAGTTTTTCCAGGTTTTTCTCTGAAACTTTAAATGGCCTTACACTTATAGACACTGTTGTCTGCAGGCATGATGCTGCATTTTGGAAAAATATATATTTGAGTAGAGAATAATTAGACATCAGTTATAGTAATCACATCTATGTAGCAACATCTGGTTGCATCAAAGCTTCACTTCAAGCTTTGGGGAGTTTTTACACTTGATGTAATGGAGTGCTTCTAATAGTTTCATTCACAATTACTCAGCTAAGTGTATTTGTATAAAACATTGATTTGCTTGGAGGGAGAAAAGAGAAACTGTTAAGTAAATTCCACTTAGAGTAACATTGATAAATTCACATTGTGACTATGGGATACCAATAAGTTGACAAAGCTCTGTGCATGCTATTCAGTATCAGTAAACCTAGCTGGTCATGGTGGTTTTGCCACATGTTAAATATTAGTTAGTTGTCAAACTCCCACTTGAAGTGATACTGTAATGCTGAGGAAATCAAGACTGATCAGGAAAACTTAAACATTTCTTCAGCATGCTGTTTTTTTGTGAATAAGTGCTTTTTCATTACCCAGTACAAAGCACAAGCACTCTTTAGTGCCTCTTGGGCACAGCTTACTCTTCCAGCCCAAAATAAGGGCCTGTCACTTTCCTAATTAATGTGCTGCTTAATTACTTATCTATCAGGTCTAGTTGTGTATTTTGGCTTTATGAACTCTAACAGGTATCTTGGCCATCACAGCAGACACACAGAATATTGTATGTAGTTTTGCATTAACTTTTGCTCTAGCTCTTGCTCTAGACAAGCAAAATGCCTTGATGATTTTGCACAGGATGTGATTTGGCTTCCTTCACCAAAATGGCTTAATAAATAACACCAGCCATCTGCTTTCTTTAAAAAGTCACAGAAAACATCCACTTGTAAGACTTTTATTAGACTTACTGCTAAAGCCTGCCCAGTTATTTGTCAGAGTTACTTATTAAAATGTAATGAGGATCTATATGGTCCTTTATATAAAGACATAAGACATCAATAACTGTCTTTGGCTAAGGCTAGAAGCTTGAGACTGAAAATCAGAAAATGTCATCTTAGCACTAAGAAGCCCTATTTTAAATATTGGTTATACAACAAGACAAAAACAATCTAAATATGGCTTTGTCTGCCAGTAGGCAACATATGCCTTTATGTATCAGTCATATGGACTGAGTTTTGTTTAGAATTAATGGATGATTGTAAGCAATGTCCTGTGGAAGAGGCACTATATATTACTTTTGGAAAAGCAAACCTTACAGTCTTAGTTGAAAGTAATGACCACCTTTTGTGAATTGATAAAAATCACAAAGCATGGGCTGATGTAGGGATTATTTTAAAATATTGGAGTAAAACTCTGAATTGAAAGCCTTTTGTAATTGTACTAGCTAGAAAAAGAGTTTAGAACTGCAGAGAATTGGGGATATAAATTTGGGATTTATATTACATGCCAAAAGCTACTTTGATATGAAAACCAGCACACATGAAGTCATTATGCTGCAAGATCGGTGCAATCTACAGTTTAACTTGTTACTGTATTTTGAAAACTTGTACTTAAATGTCTGTGTAAAATAGCACAGGAGTTTCAATGTCTGCTTCTTTAGATTAATTCTAATACTACTTGAAATTCTCTTGTCCTTCCTATTTTCCTGGATTATTTCAGTATTGGGTATGATTTATCTATTTAATAAAATACAGTATGTGGTAAGTGATAAAGTATTTGGGTCTGGATGGAAACATTGAAAGATTTATGGATTCTTTGATCCACTCATTAGAACAAGCTTTTGTACTCTAATGCTTATAGTTTAAAATCTCCAAAATTAGTGCAGCACTATCTAATTAAAGCTTAAGTTAAAACTTAATTAAATAACCCTAATAAGAAAGAGTATGTATGATGTAGGATGATGATACAGATACTTTATATTCTTTTTAAATTAATACCAAATGCTAACACTTTTTCCTGTTTGTTTTATAGGCTGGAGTAAAGGGAAAGCTAGGCAGACTACTTGGGATATTTGAGGTGAGCTTATTTCCTTTAAGTTCTAAAAGCAATGGTTTGTTTGTGAGAACTGATAAGCTGCAACATCAGACTTAAGTTCAAAAGTATTACCTACCTATAATTTTGCAGAGTTATTGGATCTGCTACATTAGACAGGACTTTAGGAGGTGTTACATGATGTGTAAAGATTTGAATAAGAAGAGTTCAAAGTACTTATACCAGTTTCACAGAATATTCTCAGTTGGAAGGGACCCACAAAGATCATCAAGTCCAACTTTTAAGTGAATGTCTTGTAGAGGGATCAAACCCATCACCATGGTGTTATCCAGCACCAGGCTCTCGCCAGCTTAGCTAATCTCAGGTCATTTTTGGCCCTTACTGGAAAGATTAAATTAGTACTTGGACAATACCTAGATGTTAAAAAAAACCCCAAAAACTTAGAAACCAAATCATTCATAGAGTTCTGAAACATTACACCAGCCTTTCTTGAGGCACTCTTTTGACATTTCCTTCTTGGTTAGATTTTGCTGAAGTACTTTGTCAACTTTCATACATGTAAATTGATGAGTCTGGATATGAATTCTCATTATGGCTTTGATTCATTAAAAAAAGGTCAACACTTTGGATAACAGATAAATCCAACCTTTAGCAAACTATGTGATTCAAAACATCTATTTGATAGCATAAAATCATCAGACTCTGATCTACTGACAGCGCGAGGACACGCTAACTAGAACTCCATTTTAGTCTTGGTGTTGCCCATTTCTGCTTAGGTTCTAGACAGGAGCAGACTGTAGTTTTAATAGTTTTCAGCTCCTAATACATCCAGTGTTCCTCTGTTGTGCTGTATATTAAGTGGAAGTCCCTTACTCTCAGGTACAAACCTTCACACAGCTTTTATAGTGGATTCCTGACAGGGATTTCCTGTCATGTGTCCTATTGTGTCAAGTATGCAAGCCATGATACAATTAATTAGAGAAGCTCCTGTAGCACCTGAAGCTTTGTAGTTAGCACTACTCACATTTTTCTGATGTATTTTGGGTTTGAGTAGAACTATCATGTGTATGGATGGTCCTACACATTAACAACTTGGCTGTGTTTTAATTCTGCTGGCCAATCTACAAAAGTATTCCCTATTTCCCAGCTCAGACCAAAAATCCCAGGATACTTATATTGTTGGCTTAAGACAGGGGCTGCAAAGCATGATAATTCACTGCTAATTCAGGTATATGTTCTTCTGAAGCCATTTACAGCAGCTAGACCAAAAGAGAGAAGAATTGGTGTTGTGTCAATTTCTAGGTTACTTCTAACTTAAATCAAGGCCCTACTTTTGTTTATAAACAGGCCCCCCAAAACTGTTGTTCGTACCATTGAGGGGGCCACTGGGGGTGGAACTAAGAGAAGATGGAAATAAATTCTGCTGCTGAGTCCTCTTGTTCTAGAAATACAACCAGAAAGGATATGTGTTATAAATATATGCATCCTGTTTAATGGTGATACTGACAAAGAACTCCTGGAGAATTTTTATTTCCTAGTAAAGCACAACAGTTCAAAACGGTATTAAGCTTGTAGTGAAACAAAGTTAAAAGTAGGAAAGGTTATTGGCACAAGGCCATAACATATCTTAGTTCTTAATATAGTTGTAATTGTAGATGGTCCTGGTTTTGTTAGTTCAGCTCTTCTCCAAGGGGAAAGATGGTCTGACTGGTCAGGTAGCACCTCAAACACTGCCACTAGCCTGCTTTGAAGTAGCAGGAGTAATGTCTATGCCAACCTCGTGTGGACTGGCTGCAGCCTTGCCTTGAGCAGATGCCTCTGTCAGACTCTGTTTAACCTGCCTTGTGCAAAACACATGCCTTCTAAACAGGTGGTGCGTGCTGCCATCGTGGCAAACCTGCTGAATGAGCAGATGACAATGATTTTTGCATTTGTCATGATTGCAAGCATAGGCTATTTAATTTGCCTCTCTCACAGAGTGAAACTTTATTGCCATTTATTGCCGTTGTGTAGATGACGCAGCCACATGATGCAATGTTTCCATCTTGCAAAAAGTGTTTGGGTTTTTTTAAATGACCTTTCATCCAGGAAATGCTTTGTGGAAACAGTTTTAGCAAATGTGGTGTACTGTGGTAATTAATAACATATGTAAAAGATAAGTTAGTAGTACTTGTTTAGGGCAGTATTAGTGGACAACTGCTAATATTTAGCTGGATGACCAAGAACACACTTTGGTCAGAACTTCACAATCTTCTGCATTGTTTGTACTGTCTTTGGTTTGGTTCAGGTTTTTTAGTCTAGTAAAAGAGAACAGCTGTTTCAAATAAAACTTTTGTTTTCCCATCATTTTGGGTCTCATCAGTACAGATGTTTGTTTAGTGAAAATAAAAGCCAGGCTTGCTGGCAACTATCCTTTAGAGGTAAGTAATTTCTAATCTTGTAGCTGTGGTAGGTCTGTAAGTTATTTAGATGAGAATTTAAACTTGTACTTCTAATATTCAAGCAGAACCAGGATCGGAAGCATAGGACGTACGTTTATGTTCTTACTGTGACAGAAATACTGGAAGACTGGGAGGATTCAGTTAATATAGGTAAGTTAATATTCTCTGTCCTTATGTGCTCACTTAAAAATGTTTTAAACAAACTTCATTTTTCTGAAGCAATTGGTATAATTCAGGGACAATACTAATTCTGTTCTTGGAAAAGTCAAGGGATGCTGTTTTTGCACACTTCAATACACACGTATCTAGGGTCACTTCCAATGTGGTGTTGCTCTTATTCTTAGAATGCTCTACTTATTATAACATTATGACAGAATAAACATTGTAACTTTTTAAAGGTCAAATACTATACTGCCAATTTGTTTTTTCCATAAAAGGTAGAACGTTTTACTGATACTCCAAGGTGTTTTTGAAAGTGTCTTTGATCTTAAACAAGTGGTTTATATATGTTCAAGCACAGTACTTGTAATGCTGTAGAACCAAGTGAAAAATAGAATTAATTCCATTTTTAACAGTACTAGCATTGACCTTGTCTATATGTATTTTCAGAGACTTTGAATTTTAGAGGACTGACTTGTAAAAGAAAGATGATCTTAAGCTGATCTTAGTAAAGTCTTGAAACAAGTAACTGCATATACAGATGCATATGGAGATTTTGAGTATGGAACATGGCTTTTGAAATCAGACCAAGCCATTCTTCGTGCATGCATGTTCAGTCTAAAGACTGGTTTTTGGCTAGGCATGACAATGCAGTACTAAGTTATATAAATAACATCACACTTTCCTCTAATGACCAGATGTGACTTTTGGAGTATATAAGGAGTCACATGAGTTTCTGTCCAGTATTTGCTCCAAGAGAGTTATCTGAAAGGCTTTATTATGAATTGCACTTCAGTAAGCTTGAGTGAATCTCTTACATTGATCAGTTCTTTCAAGATCTTTTTGTTCACTCTTTTGCCTGACAACTTCAACTTCCAAAGAACTGAGAAAAAGTGAGTAACTATATAGCAACCAGTTGTGCTGTTAAAATTTTATAACTCTGTTCTTTCTTCTGGATTGTACTCATTCAGGAAGGAAAAGAGAATGGTTTAAAGTAGAAGATGCAATCAAGGTCCTTCAGTGTCACAAGCCTGTTCATGCAGAATACTTGGAAAAACTGAAACTGAGCTGTTCACCCACTAATGGAAACTCTGTGGTTCCCCCTCTTCCAGACAATAACTCCTTATATGTCACTTCTGCACAGACTTCTGGGTTGCCCTCTACTGTGAGATAAACATTTGGATTACCTTTTTATCCGTGTCATCACAACAGGAGACATCTGTGATCACATGTAGGCATCTGTATAACTGTCAATTCTAAGTGAAATATGTGAATGTGTCATAATGTCAAATTTATTTGAACATGTTTTTCTTTTAACAATGTAAAGTAGTATTTCAGCAAACCAAAGCCATATAGGGAGTTTTTAAAGATGCCTTAATAGGCCATTAAAAACAAAACTTGACTATATAAATTTATAAATTTCCATATCTGCTAAAATAAAATATGCATCTCAGTGGTGTTCAGCTTATTTAAAACTTGTGAGTTTTTGTCAGTAGTTAAAGCTTGAGCAAATAGTCTTATACTAAACTCTTACTTGGTATCCACAGATGAAAGTGCTAAGACCTTAAGCTGGCAGTATTTGGGTTAAATGGATGTGTTGAAGGCAGAGATGCACAAGGGTGACTACAATAAAGCACTAAACCACATTCAGGCCTGTCAAGAGCAAAGGATACCAACACTGCTTGCCTCAATTATCCAAAAGGTTGCCTTGTCCTATGCAATCTTCATGTAACATATAACTAGGGCAAGAACAATAACTTTGTCTTGCAGCTACCAAAACTGTCCACTAGACTTCTGTTTCATCACTCGGTCAGCTGGTGAACTGTCAGAAGAATTGTGTGAAAAGCATTGTAGATCCTTCTTCCTCTCTTATTTTTTTTTTTCCTTTTAACCTTAATAAGTGTTTTGTTCCTGCAGTGTGTTGCAATTTAAAAATGTTTGGAGGAAAGTAAGGCTTAACCAGGGGCACCCTTAGGTTGCAGAGGTGTCCATTAGCAAGTTTGTGTTGAGGTGCCTTGCCCTGCAGGAGCCAGTAGTGCTGCCTCCAGTGCTTGGGAACCTACTACACCAGTACAGAAATAATACTCCTTGGTCATATTAGAAAGAGTGCTGAAACCCCCAATTTTAAGTTAATTCTTAAATCCTTCAGTTCTACTGTTTTAACATCAATTATTTTAGCTTCTTCAAATAAAAGCTGGCCTCTTGGTAAAAATATAGTTGGAATAAATGAGGTACAGCTGATGACCTCCCTGTTCTAATTATTTCTCCTGCTTTTCATTCAAGAAGATGAAAACGAAATCTACTGTTGGTCTTAAAGTTTTTACCATAGGATTACTCTCTCTGTATGTGTGTGTGCATGGTTTCTTCTACAAGAACACAATCTAATTCACATGAACATCCTACTTCTGTATTTTTTCTAGGATCTAAACCCACCTGTACCTCCTTTATATCCAGCCAAAACAGGTAGAGGTAGACTACTACCTCACGTGTGAAGTTTATTCTGGGAAAAGCTCATTCTCTTATACAACATTTGAACCTTTGTAAATAGTCCAACTAGTAAATAGTGAGTGTAAAATGGAAAATAAATGTAATTTAAACCTTTTGTTACTCAATACACAAATGGTTAACTTCTACTTTTTTAACACAAATTGTGTAAAATGCTGCTATGAATTTTTTTGTGCTGTTACACTTTTTTAGGGAAAAAAAATGTTGCCACAAGTTACTCTTAGAAAAACAATCTTGTGCCATATGTAAATGCAGTGAGACTAGGGAGACAGATGATCTGCTGCTCTCTTTGAAGAGGCATAAATACTACTGAGAAGAGGTGTGAGCCACAAAGCTGAAGACTTCTGGAAGAGTGGGTAGGACTCTGCTTTCCATCCCTCTTAGCTCCTAGTCCAGGTCACTTCCAGAACTGGAAAGAACACACAAGTGTTCAGGTGCATGTAAAGGTGGAAGTATTGCCAACAACTTACCCATCCTTTCAGCTGTGAGGTGGGAGGCCAGGGAAGGAAGGAGCACTGCTCTTTCAGTCATGCACACATGGGTACACCTATTTGACACTGAACCTGTTCCAGACTGGGACACCATTTGCTCAGCTCTCTACTTTAAACTCTTTTGCTTGGTGAAACAGGAGAAGATGAGTTTGAGCACAATGAATGTCTGATCTTTGTTAAAATCATACTCATGGTGTGGAAGGGTACCTCTGGCTCCAAAGCTGCCTTTTAAAGAATGAATCATGTAGCTCCCTTTTTTGATCACTTTACTGCTCATTTTTTTTTGTTCAGTAGTTATTTTAACATTTAAATTGAACAAATTTGTATAGGTTTTCTTGTAACAAGATTATATCAAATCCATGAAAGCTAAAACAGAATCCAGACTTGAGTTTTTATTCATTTAAAAAAAACCCGCTGTCTCCATTTCAAATTCTTGGAATGAAATCAATCCAAGCTTGTATGAAATTTAGTGGTAATGCATGATCTTATTTTGTAACTCTTGAATTATGTATTTGATAACAATGTAAAATGTACAGTATTACTGTTGCTAACAAACTCAGAGTTGATTGCCTATAAATATTTTTGGTCACACACATTTGAGCTGTTCAGTAGTGCCAGACAGATTTTATTTTATTTTTTTTTAAATGGCATTTGTTGTATAAATCTCTTCAGTCTCTATGCAACCTTCAGAATGAAGCTCTATTGCTTTGACTCCCTTTCAAAAAGAAATGTTTAGTGAATCGCAGCTATAAACTGAAGACACTTCAGTTTTGCTACAGGGAAGAACTGTAGTAAAGGGACAGCAGTGTGGCTTCAGTACTAATGAAACCTGACACTAAACTCCAACAGCAAGAGTTGTAAAAATGGGAATACAAAGGCTACAATTTTTTCTACTACCTATGAATTTTAATGTTAGAAGCATTTTGTTTTTACATGAATCTCTAGTTCGATGAGCCAAACCTATTTCAAACAAAGCAAATTGGGATTTTTCTCACGCCAAAAATTCTGTACAATGTATCCAGATTTGGTTCTCCAGAGGAAAATGGGAAGAGACAGGTTGTCATCTGCAATTGTCAGAGTCTAGTTTATACTGCTGCTTTTCCTAGCTGATAGGTTTTGAGATTCTCATGAGTTACATTATGGTGGTATCAAAGGAAAAAGAGCCTTAAAATCATTTTAAAATCTCATGGAGCCAGAATTAAGCAAAATTGATGTGTTTTTAAACACAAGAAATCCTGAGGTATTGCAGAGAGGCTGTTCAAGTGAAAAATCTTATTTTGGTGCTTACTGCACCCCTGACTTAGCCTAGCATTGTTCTGTTAACAATGTGCTGTGAAAAGAAACATGAGGGGCAGACACTTGGTTTACTTACCAGCATGATTTGTGAAGTGAAAACTGAAAGGAAGGGGGGTGGGAAGGGAATTAAGTTGTAAACATTTTGACCTGCTTGCATGGATTTTCTTTCAAGATTGATGTAAGAATTTTGACTTTTTATATTTGAGAAATACCAGAATAAAATCTAAATTAGTCCTGTGGATGATGTAGTTATTCCATTGCAAATACTGCACCAGTAATGCTTGTGTGAAAGGTTTCAACCCCCTCTAAACTACATTTAAGTAATGTTTCCCATTTCTTGCCTTGTCATGACACTCCCCTCTACCCTTAGCACACATGTCCAATGCCTGTCCCCACATGAAAACTGGTGGCAGTGCTCAGTGCTGCTGCAGACCTACCTTCTCCTTACCTTGATTTTTGAACCAGCATTCTTCCACGCTGTTAGGATGGCAAGCAGCTCCTGTGTTTCCCCACTCTTGAGTATGACTTCTGACAGGTAAGACAGTTACCACACCTCGCTCTCTTCAGCTTAAGGAGTTTGGTACAGGGCAGTAGCCATAGTCCTGTCTGGCTCCTATCACCATATCTCCAAGGCATCAAGTGAAATGTAAGACTCAAGTTGAGGCAGAAGTGTGACAAAGCACAACAGCTGGCAGGAAAGGCAGAATGACTGACTTTGGACTTAGAGATACAGTAAAAATCTTCAAGCTTGAACTGAAAAGGTTTGGGGTTTTTTTAAACTTCATTTCTTTCAATGCTCTGGGTCTCAGTGCTGCTGTGGCATTAAGCAAGGCCCTGCCTCCTTGGCTCAAGTGATGGAAACGGCACCACATCCACATTGGGACAATGCTCCACATAAGGAATGGTGTCACCTCTTAACCTTCAGCCTCAGCAATCACAGGCATATTCCTGCTTGTGACAATATGATGGCTATGGGCTATGCACCACCATCCCAAACTCTCAGACACTTTTCTTCCCTAAATAAGCATGAAATACTGTTCAAAGAGACATTTTAGGAAGGCAAGGGGCCACTAAATATGTCTGCTGTATGATCTGCTGCTTGCCTCATGGCCCATGCTGCTTTCAGTAGCTCAGTGGTAGCACTGGTTCCCAACAGCTTTCCCTCATTTGTTACCACCAGTTCTGATGGATGGGCAGTATGAAGAAGAATTACAGCAAAAAGGTTTATGCTGTTACTGAAATTACAGCATGATGCTGGCCAAAGACCATCAGCTTGTGCATTTACCCTGCTGCTGGCTTACCTGTGACCTAGTGCCCACTACATCCAGACAGATTCTGTAACAAGGCTCTTGTCCTAAGGGCCTTTTTGCTTCACTCTCCTTGGTATTTCCTTCTTTCCTGCTTTCTGGCTATGGCACTAATCCAGCCTGTCTTTGAATAAGGTAGATGAACATCCACAGCAACTGAAGGAAATAAAAACACCATTAGAATTACCTTACTGTGTCATATGAGATTAGTCTGCCCTTGATAATTGTGCATGGGACAATGATCAATTGATCATTGATCAATGACAATTGAAGAATAAATTTACCAGGACCCAGCCTAAGCCTTCAGTGGTACCTGGAAGAACGCTATTACTCAGGAGCAGCTGATGGGGAAATGACAGCAGTTCTTCTGAAGGCACAGCAGGTATTCAGGCTGAGACAAGCACACCTGCTACAGCAAGCAACAACTGAACAGCACACATGAAATCTTTCAGATTTATAAATGACCTTGCAAGCCTTAGTAGGCAGCTTAGGTAGGAAGGTGCAGATGAGGCCTGGGAAACCAAAATACTCCTTCACTACAACTCTGAAGACCAGAAACCAGCTTACACGAGTATCTGAAACAACCTTGCACAAGTACTCCAGTCAGAGATGATTTTTTATGAAATAATTTGCATTTACCTTCCTAAAAAATTAATAAAAACTTCTGTTACATGCCACACTTGCATCCATCTCTTTATGTGGGAAGGCTCATGCAGTGTGAGAAGTACCTGTGGTTTCCACCTCCCAGAGCTCCTTCAGTTAGAGCACTCTAATTTCTCACTGATGGGCTGACCAACAGTGACAGCTCAACTAACTGAGCTACCCATTTGTGTCCTCTTAGGGTACAATTCCCTCTGCTAACCCAGGTCAGACACTGGGTAGTGTTTCCCTGAGTGTTTCCATTGCAGCAGTCTTTACCCAGAGATACTCTACCTGCTCACACATAACCCCTTATCTAAGTGTTGAGGGGAGTTCATGAAAGCAAACACCACAGATAAGGAAGTCATGCTGCTTGATGCCTCTTTTCTAATGCATTTCAGTGCAATGTAACAATTACTTATTTGCTTTAAAATCATCCTGCACACTACCACAGTAAAGGCCACAATAAACTGTACAAACTCCATCCCAGCAGACATATGACTATTAACCTTGTGTCATGTTCACAAAGTAACACAGTTTAGCAAAGCTCAATACATTTATCAATTTGATTGCACTAGACACTGTCCAAACCGTGCATGTAAGTAGGAAAGTTTTGTACTTTCTGAACCAGACAGATTTGAACAGGCAGGCAAAAAAAACCCAAAAAACAACAGAAGACCCCACACCAACAAACAAAACAACTCCAAACAAAAAAGTGGGGGAAGCAGGGGAGGGACTCACATCCTCTGAGCTGAGTACCAAAGCAGTCTCCTCTGAGGTTCTAGGACAGAGGAGCTGCTCTTCTCTCTCCATACAATGTGGCGGGAAACCACAAGCAATTGAAAGGTTATGAGAAGTTAAAAGTTACCTTGCTTATTCTACCAGATGTTAAGAACTGTTAGGAAACTGTTGCACACTGATGGCAGCCCACTGTAGTTAAATGAAGCTCAGTGCCTAAGTAATGAATAATCACTCTTCCTTTTATTTCAGTGTCATATTACATTACAGTCAAGACATGTTATTGACAAAACCTACCAGACATTTTACTTTAACCCTCAGAAAAAACCCCAGAAAACCCAACCCAAGAAGGAATGTATATAAATAGAGATGTCACAATTTTTGATGTCACTAGTCCATTAAGATGTTCCACAATAGTCTCAATGTGTTAGAAATACAATAACTTGAAAGCTATCGAAGCAACGTTTCACTTGGTTTAGACTAAAGTCAGCTAAGATACAAAAAACCTGTTCCATCAGTTCCCAATAATCATACACTTCATACCCATGACAGAACATGGCTACATGTGAAGAGACCACCACTGAATATTTATGCAAAACCAAAAGCCTTCCTCTTGATCTACAGGAAACTACTGCAAAAGTATTTCGCGTGTGTGGTTATAGAGCCCATGCGATAACCCAGGCTCAACAGCTACACAGTTACTACCCAAACACTGACACAGAAAATGCAATCTCATCATTCTTGCTCAGGATTTTAGGACATTTGACACATAGCACCAGTAATGGTAGAGGAAACCCATTTATTTTAAAGTTACTGTAAATTGATCCAATAGACATGTACTAAAAATGGAGATAAAACTAACACTCCCTAAAAGACAGCTGCATTTGCTAATCAGCTGCAATGGTAGATATAAGAGAAATTACTGAGTTTCACATAACAACTGGGAATATACACCTGCTTAACTGAGGAAAGGGTTATATCTTACTGGCTTCAAAGAATTTAGCCTGAGGGTCACACATTCCTTGGCACAAGCTGGAATTAAATTCCCAGCTTGACTTTATACAGGGCTCTTAAATCAGGTTGAAAAGTAAAATAAGTATTATTTAGTATACATTATCTGGGTCTGGATTCATCCTGCCTATGAAGTTAAAACTGTTTAAGTGCCAGCTCAGGTCTTGTTTCTCGACTGAAGGGAGGGAAAGGCGCTCTCAAAGAGGATGCTTAGGTGGGTCTGACTGTCCTCTGGGGGTGCCACCAGCCCTTGGACTAGAGACAGAGCTGAGGAAAGCTGCATATGTAGTGTAAGATAAAGCATTAAGAGGTAGGTGAAGTGAATCCAGAGTCTACGGCACAGCTCACTTATTCTCAGCTGCCTGCTACAGAAGTTATTTATGCTAGTAGCAGATCCAGGACGTAGGCCAGCCAACCCCAAACAGACATTTGTGAGAAGAGAGAGTTAATGGTGCTTCCTCACTCTGAGGAACATGTTACAAGTCTTGGACCCAACTTTGGCTTACATTCAACACAGAAACTACTTTTAAAACAGTTTTTTTTATGACTCAGTGTGGTGAAAAAGTTGAATTTTGAACCATTCTTCAACCACATTGCAGAGAACTTCGAGGGACAATACCAGTTACTAACCACTGAAAGCACTGTCTGTTGGAAAACATAGTTTTAATAGATATTCTTCATCTTACATAAGAGCACAATAAATACACCACATTCTATAGAAATTTCAGATGACACTAGAGGAAGAAGAGGTGAAAGAGGGAGAATACCCATAGACTACATAACCATACCCCCGAATTGCATGACAAAACACTCCCTATTGCAACCACTATGAGCTGTCATTTATACATTTCAGGTTGGCCTTGCCAAAAGCTTTTCTTTTAAGCTTGTTTTGTTTGGTTGCTCGGTTTTGTGAGGGAGAGGGCTTGGGAAAAGGAAGAGAATAGGGATACAAGAAATGAAGGGAAGCAATTAGATGGGTTCCCAGAAAAGATACTGGACTCCTAGACAGGATGCATACACAAAAAACAAGGACAAGAAGGAATTTTTCATCACTTTCCTTCCCTCCAATAAAAGAAGCTTTGTTGCTATTTAAGCTGACCAGTTGCTCAAGCAAGTAGCTTAATAAGGCTTGTAGAGAAAACCAGTGGTATGAGATGCTAGCTGTAAGTGGCTAAGCAGACATCAGTCAGTACACAAGCTGGCTCTAACAGTGGTTCTAAGCACTGGAATTTCAAGTTACTAGAGGGCAGGAATTAAAAAAGTTAGAAAACCGTGCTGCTATGCAGAGACTCATAATTAGTGCTGTCATTTGCTCTTAACCTCCTACTTCATTCTGGTTATTTCCATGAAAACACACACTGACGCATTACTATAATTAAGGTTACAATTGTTACATCAGAGACTTGTTTCTAAAAGTCACTCCAAATGCAATTTCATATTAAATTGGCCAGGTAAGGTCACCTGCATAACACAAACTAATAAAAATAGTCAGGAAACAGAAGGAAAAAAAAAATAATTAAAACCAAATAAAATAAAACCAAAAAAA